TAAATTTTTTATTTTTAATTATGGTTAAAAAAAAATATACCACAAAATTTATGAGCTAGGCTGACACCACGGCACTCACTCTAGCATGGGCAAAAGAGTGAGACTCTGTCTCAAAAAAAAAAAAAAAAGACAATTTCATACCTGAAAATTAATAATAATTCCTACATATTATATATTCAATATTAAAATTTCAGTAGTTTCAAAACGTCATAAATAATTTTTCTTTTTTACATTAAAAAAGTAATCAGGATCCAGATAAGTTCCACACCTTGTTATTAGTTGATGTCTTTTAAGTCTCTTTTGATTTATAGGTTCCCTTTCATCTCTTTTTTTCTCCTTACAATTTATGTATTGAAGAAACTGTATTGCTTGTCCTAACCATTTCCCAGTCTTACAGATTTTTCTGCTTTCATACCCATGGTATCTTTACCATGTTTGCTTTGTAGGGGCTCAATCAAATATAACTTCAGCTTTTTGGCAAGTCTGCTTCATAGGTGGTGCAGTTTACCTTCCTTCAGGAGGCCCAGATGTGTGGCTGTCTCTTTGTGATGCTTTAGCTGGCTGCTTAGATCCTTTAGTTGATTAGGGGCTACAAAATGGCATATTTTGATTTTATCATTATGGATTGATTTATTTAATCTTATGGAAAAATTTTAAAAAGTTCTGTTGAAATATTCACATACCATAAAATTCATCCATTTAAAGTGTACAATTCAGTGGTTTTTAGTTTATTCACATATATGTATAACCATCACCACAGTCACTTTTAGAATATTTTCATTACCTCAAAAAGAAACTGTATACCCTTTAGCCTTTTAGCTGTCATCTATCCCCCAGCCCCCTCAGGCCTAAGTAACCACCGATCTACTTTTTGTCTCTATGGAGTTCCCTATCCTAGACTTTCATATGAATGGAATCAAATAATATATGGTCTTTTGTGACTGGCTTTTTTTTACTTAGCATAATGTTTTCAAGGTTTATCCATGTTGTACCATATATCAAAACTTCATTCCTTCTAATGGCCTATTATTCCATTGTATGGATATGCCACATTTTGTTTATCTCTTTGTGTGCTGATGGACCTTTGGGTTGTTTCTACTTTTTGGCTGTTATGAATAATGCTGCTATTAACATTTGTGTACAGTTTTTTTGCATGGAGATGTTCTTCTTTGTCTTAAGTGTATACTTGGGAGTGGAATTGTGGAATCACTGGTTCATACAGTAACTGTTTAACTATTTGAAGAATGTCAGACCATTTTCTAAAGCATCTGCATCATCTTACATTCCCACTAGCAGTGTATGTGGGTTCCGATTTCTCTAAATCCTCCCCAACACTTGTTATTATCTGACTCTTTTATTCTTGCCATCCGAATGGGTGTGGTTTTGATTTGCTTTTCTCCAGTGACTAATGATTTTGAGCATATTTTCATGGGCTTATTGGCTATTTGTATATCTTCTGTACACAAATGTCTATTCAGATCCTTTGCTCATTTTTAAATTGGATTATTTGTCTTTTTATTATTGAGTTGTAAGAGTTGTTTCTATATCTTTTATTGGATATATGATTTGCAAATATTTTCTCCCATTCTATGGGTTGTCTTTTTACTTCCCTATGCTTTATTTGTTAGCTTAAGTCTATCTTTAAAGAGAAGCATCTTTGTCTCTTTATTACTCAGATGAGACAGTTTACATAGCAAAGGCGAGATAAAAGCTCGATTCTTTGCCTTT